TCTCTCTTTTGCTTCCTCTCACCATGTGATCTGCTTGTACCCACTGGCTGTCTGCCACTTTTTCACCATGAGTAGAAGCAGCCTGAGGCCCATGCCAGATTCAGCTGTCCCAGAATCGTAAGCCAAATAAACCTCTTTCCTTTATAAATCACCCAGTCTCAGGTATTTCTTTTTTTTTTTTTTTCTTTTTTGTCTTTTTTTTTACTGACCGGTAACGGGATCGCAACCCTCGGTGTCACGCCCGCACCACGCTCAGCCAGTGAGCGGGAACCGGTCTCCACGTGGGATCCGAACCCTCGGCGGGAGCGCCGCCACACTCCCAAGCGGCGCACTCTCCAGTGCACCACCGGGCTGGCCCATGGGTATTTCTGTTATAGCAACACAAAATGGGTTAAAACAACAAGAATGGAAATAGACTTCCAAATTAGTAGAGGAGGGAAAAAAATAGAAAAAACTCAGTAAATCAGGAAAGGGAAGAGTAAAAACCTTAGAAAAATCAGGTTAAATACCAAAAATATTATGGTAGAAATCAAGCATATCAATAATTACAATAAATGTAAAGGTGCATAATTCAATAAGGACAGAGATTTTTCAGGTTGGATTTTTAAAAAAACCATCTATGTGGCAGGAAAATGCTTATTAAAAGAAAGATGAGTACTGGGTTCATTTTGGATCAAGTATACTTTTTTTTTTTTTTTTGGCAGCCGGCCAGTGTGTGGATCCAGACCTGTGACCTTGGTGTTATAAGGCTTTGCTCTAACCAACTGAGCTAACTGGCCAGCCCTCAGATAAAATTCACTTTAAGGCAAAAATGTTATTAGGGATAAAGAAATAAAAATATTAGAGATTAAAAAATTATTATATTAGAGGTAATATTATTACAGATAAACTTGTTGCATATAACAACATGTAGCTATAAAACACGAAGAAAAAAACTGACATAATTGCAAACAGAAATCAATAAATCCACAATTTGGGGATGATTTTAAGATATGTCTGTCAAAAAAAGATGGATTAAGCAGATAAAATATTAGAAGATTGGAATAACATAATTAAAACTCTTATAGAACCCTTTCACCCCCATTATAGAATACTTGTTTTAGTCACGCCCTCACAGAACGTTTACAAAATCTCAAGATGTTCTGAATTCCAAACCAGATTCTCAATAAAATTCAAAAGTTGGGCATGGAAAAACCATGTTCTCTTGTCACAATCCAGTTAGGCTGAAGATTAATAACAAACATATCCCTCCTTCATGTTTGGAAACTAAGTTGGAATGATTTACTTTTCCTATACCACTTCGAATTTAAATATGCTCATGTGGACTTGTATCTGTATTTTTTTATTTTATTCAAAATATTTTAACATTGGGGGCCGGCCCAGTGGCGCACTGCTACAGTGCGCCGCTTGGGAGCGCGGCGGCGCTCCCGCCGAGGGGTTGGATCCCACATACAGCCCGGCCGCCTTCTGGGCGGG